GCCTCGTACAAAGTGAAGGTCAGATACAAATACACATTGTTTTTCAAAACTTTATTGTTTAATTAGTACCTTGTCAGCATCATTTTCACAAAGTCGGCTGCTAGCTGTGCAGCTCCCATTAAAGTAGCTCCAACTACTCTAGGAGCTATTTCTTCATCATCTGCTATAAGAGCTTGGGCTGCCTTTAAAACTTTTCGGGATTTAATAGAATCGTTGATAATTTTCGTGATATCATTTTCTTTGAGATCTTTGAATAATTCCGCATTTTTGATAACCTCTATTGCCACAATTAGCTTGAAGGTTAACTCGAAATCCTCTTTGTAAAGTTTTACTCCCATGTTGTTTAGATGGTGCAGTTTGTTCAGTATTCCTCTTTCAAGAGCTCTCTTCAAATGTTCATTTCGACTCACCTAAATTTGAAAAGGGACGTGTAAAAACATTAAATAAATTGCACATGAAAATGGGCTAACCTAGTTATTTATAGTTATATGTAAATAACTACTAAGAAACGCTGTGCTAAAATATTAAAAGAGTAACTGACATGGATCAATAATTGTACAAGAAACACTATTTACATAATTTATAAATGAAATTCAGTTACTAAGGAAAGAAGTTTTTAAATACGAAATATATTTTCATTTGTTCTTAAAAAGTAGTGAATAAGAATTACCATTATTTTAGGTTTGTCATAAATAAACAATTTTTTTCTGATTTTAACAGATAATACTTGCGTTGTCGGTTCCGTTGGGATTTTGTTGGTTTTTTAATTGTATATACATTTTGGGTTATATAATTACTGGTTTTTGTCCGATTAATGGCTATTTCCTATTTTAATGTAGGTTTGCATATTTCAAATGATCGTTTACTAAAATATCCCGACTCATTGCTATTTGAAGGGTGGCTAAATTAAAAGATTTAGTTAAGTAGTTATGGATACAAAATACTTACTTTTCGTCTTTGTTGTGTTGAACAATGCACAGTGAGAAGAAGGATCAACCCGGCAGTTAATAGTGAAATGTTCATATTGTTTTTCCGAAGGAATATCTAGCAGACAGTGTCAGTTTCTTTTCCCTAAAAGAAATAAATATAGTTGATTAAAAAAAACCTCCGGATCACTCCATTACAAATGTAAACTATTTTGGTTAATAACAGGATTTGGACCCGGGTTCATGTACCCTACGCTGAAAGCTAGTTCAGTCACGGTCGGCTTTTCGTATTAATTAAGAATGAAATAGAGGTCGTCCAGTGGTCAAAAACTCAACAAAAAATATGTAATCTACAGGCTTCTCTATTGTCACCCAATGAAGAAAATAAAACATGCGATTGGAATTTCATCCATTTGTTTTGATTTTGTTAATATTTCGTTATTATTTCGTCACCAGCATGGCAACCCATAAGGCCCATGTTAGTGTTTTAAATATTGGAATTAGTATTTTGTGCTTTTTTTGCCTATTTTAATTTAAAAAGGGATTCTGCACATCTACAGGAAACTGTCTTTCTTTCAGTGTGTGGAGATTTTCCCTACGTTGCAAATGAGCTGATAAAAAAGGTTTTAAAGAAACATGCTTGCCTATTAATATATAAATAACTCAATATGTTGCACAGATATGCCTCCATTCTCAATATTAAGTACCTGGAGCCCAACATCTCAATAATGAATTTACATTAACATACTTACTTTAACATATTACTTTAACATTAATACTTTAACATATTTACATGAGTAAAAAAATGCCTGGATTTTAATCTAGCCAATGAAGTCAAGTTATTTTAGGTAAAAATACCCCTCTACCTGGAACTACTCCCTAAGTGGTAAAACTTTGCACATAACATATCGAAAATCAACATACGTGCATGCTGTGCATTTTCCAAGATGGCGGCCAATTTTCACAAAAACACAATTTATCTTCCTCCCTGTAGCAGCAAACCTAGGTACTCATTAAACCTAATGTTATTTAATAGATTTAATTGAAAATTAAATCAGGCAAATTGAATTCACTTAAACTGCAGGTTTGCTGTGGCGGGAGTATTTTACAACAGCTATGTATATTTTTCATGTTACGTTTAAATTCTAAACATTGCTGTTAAGGGATTTTTCCGGCAGCAGGGTTACTAAAATGTAATAATTTGTTGGTTGGAAAAATTAAACTGACAGATATTAAACAAAATTAATAAAAACTTATATCAATAGCTTTTAGAGATAGGGCAAATATGGTGCGGACTAAAAGATGCATTTTTGTGTCTTCTTTAACTTTTGTGTGAACTAGATTTCTGAATTTCCAACGGTTTGTGAAATATGGGCAAAAAAGTACAAATTGGCCACCATTTTCCAAGATGGCGGCCGTAGCACAGCATGCTCGAATGTTGATGTTTAATATCTTGTTACTCAGTACTAGTACTACACATGTGCAAGGTTTCGCACCTTAGGGAAATTTTCCACCTAAAACCCTAACATGAATGGACTAATATACGAAAACCTTCAATCTTAGACGAAAAAATAATAAACAACACTTTCACTAATTACTAGTTATACAAACTTTAAATGCAAACAGTTGAACCTAAATTTTAGTCGTGTTACTTACCAATTATTTAAGTGATAAAGAACCCATAATCTTTTCATTTTATAGGTACCCGACTATTAACTATCACAGCATTATGTAATAAGTATAATATATGAATTATAATGAACAATAGATCGTTAATATTTGTTAGCTGTTGGAATATTAACATTTTCATTGTTGTTATTAAATTATTTTTGTGAATTTTTAATGCATTAATCATTGAGTACTAATAAGAAAAGATATTATATATAGCATTTGAACAAAATAAAAATTTACTATAAAATATGTTGTAAATGTTTAAAAGAAGAAGATAGGAAAGTATAAGTAACCGTAACTGGTATCGTTAAAACTTGTAGAAGCTGGTCATTACGGCTTGAGCTTTTCCACGAACTACTTTAACATTTATCCAGTTTTAAGATGGGACTTTTAAGATGGGATCCTATCCTAATAAAGTGAAGGTAATTATTTTATTCTTTTTATTTTATAAAATTAGTTATAATACAATCTAGGATAGTAAAATGAAAACACAATTTCGTACACTTATTTGGTATCATTATTTGGTTACCATAATACGATATATCACACTTTTAGTTGTAACATGGGGCAAACCTGATTAGCTTTGCCTTATTTTAAAACTAAACATCGTGGTATTTCAGTCACCTTTTATTCGATATTTTTGAACTTGGAGTGGTTTAATAGTTAAAATGAATTTGAAAGTTTAAATGTTAAATAAAAGCATTCATGACATTATTTTTTTATAAAACCAGTGTTAGTTTCTTGTAATGTAAATTTAACAAATGAGGATGAATGCAATTTTGACATTTTAAATTGGATCAAGGTAACTTGTTTTTTACGTGGATCTCTTCTACCTTACAAACATATAAAGTTTCATAAAGATTGGCTTAAACGATCAAAAGATAACATTTTAATCCAAAAACGTACAATATCTGATTTACGAATTGATTTTGGAAAAACGTTTATTCTAAATTTTCTCTTTATTTTGACCCAGGGAATCATTTCGTAAATTATGCATCCACCGTTTTTCAACACCCTGTATATCCATCAATGGTGTTTACGTGTGTACTTGGCACATAAAAACGTCATAAATTATAAGTATTTAACGTTTTTAATTCGGGTTTTCTCATCTCGGTCTACCAAATACAAAAGTAAATACACAAATAAGAGAGAGACACGTGTGAAAGTTAAATAAATCAGATTAAAAACAAACTAATAAACACGGATGATTACAAAATTATCTTCAAACTATGAGGGTCACTGGCCCAGAGCCCTTATCATACATTAAGCTCGGTTAAGGGAAAGCAAAACTTCAGATTGAGCTTTTTAAAATAACAGCACACAATAACAAATCTAAGATAACAAAATATCTGTTCACAAAAGAATTCTTTTCAAATTAACGATAAGAGAACAACACTTATATCATGGAGCCCATTTTTTTTTTATTCATGCAAATCACTTTGTATAAACAAAGAGATGGTGCATAATAGAACATAATAAAGCATGGAAAGGGTGCATAATAATCCCTTAAACACTATAAACCATGCAACACAAATCTTTACTCCCTGAAGAGCAAAAAGTCTTTTTCACCACACTATGATGTTTTTGGCTGTATTACATACGTTAATTGGTGGCTGAAAGTTACGTTTTGCTGGTCATGCCAGCTGTCGCCAATTTGGGGACCGAGCAGGTTTTTACAGGCCGGGGTCGCAAAATCAGCTGTCCGCTTACTTACTTAAAACATGAATGCGTTTTAAATACACAATCAAAATCCATAGCATTGCAATATAGAATTGTGTTATTGTCACCGTTGCCTAGCAACTATTTATTTATGTTTTTGCTGATTCCTCAAATTATTTCTTCACATAACCTTAAAGTTAGTAGTAAAGTTAGTAGTAGTTAAAGTTAGTAAGTAGTTGTGTTACCATCAGAGTGCATTATTATAGTGGTGAATAGTGGTAATAGGGTAAAGTGTGGTGAAAAATTGCGTTCGTACCACGGACCGAAATGGTTTTGCAGCTCTCGATCGATTTAAGTTCTCGACTTCGTCTCGAACTTAAAAACTATCTCGAGCCGGCAAAACCTCATTTTCGGCCCTAGGTACGAAATATACTATTTCGTACCCAGGGAGGTAAAGTCAGCTGTTGTAAACAGTTTGTTAGTTAATGAAGAGCAAAAAATCTTTCTGGTACCCAGGGAGGTAAAGTCAAGCTGTTGTAAACAGTTTATTAGTTAATGCTGCAATGTGACTACCAATATAGTTCATCACACTGACAAAAAGTGACTCTTCGACTCTGGCTTTCCTTCTGAGCTCGGGTAGAAAGGAGTCACTTTACGTCATAGTGAGGAAAATATTTTATTAACAGTTACAACAATTGTTCTAATCTAGCCTCGTACAAAGTGAAGGTCAGATACAAATACACATTGGTTTTCAAAACTTTATTGTTTATTTAGTACCTTGTCAGCATCATTTTCACAAAGTCGGCTGCTAGCTGTGCAGCTCCCATTAAAGTAGCTCCAACTACTCTAGGAGCTATTTCTTCATCATCTGCTATAAGAGCTCGGGCTGCCTTGAAAACTCTTCGGGATCTGACAGAGTCGTTCATAATTTTCCTCATATCACTTTCTTTGACCTGTTTGAATAAGGGCATATTTTTGATAGCCTCCATTGCCACAATTTGTCTGATGGTTCCATTGAAATCCTGTTTGCAAAGTTTTACCCCCATGTTGTCTAGATCACGCAATCCAGCCAGTACACCTCTTTGAAGACCGGATATCAAACCTTGATTTTGACTCTCATTTTGAATCTAAATTTGAAAAGAGACGCGTAAAAACATTAAACAATTTGCACATACCTTATTGTATATTATTTAGATGAAGATGGACCTAATGAAATGTACACAAAAGAAACAAATTATATTTGGATAGTATTAGAGAAACATTAGGTCTCAAAACTCACCCCCATGTTGTCTTGATCACGAAATCCAGCCAGTGTACCTCCTTGAAGACCGGACATCAAACCTTGATTTTGACTCCCATTTTTAATCTAAATTTGAAAAGAGACGCGTAAAAACATTCAATAATTTGCACATACCTTATTGTATATTATTTAGATGAAGATGGACCTAATCAAATGTACACAAAAGAAACAAATTATATTTGGATAGTATTATAGAAACATTAGGTCTCAAAACTTTAGGTTTTATTTTAAAATAAAGACTTAAAATATCAGTCTATAAACTTCACAAACATATATTGAGATGGTTACTCATCATTTCCAAGTAAATATCAGCTTATTTCTTTATTGAGACGATCTATCCGTTCCTACTTCATGATGGATATATATTGCAGAAATTAGCCAATATCTTTGATAAAACGGGATCTTTCGAATTTCTTTAGGCAGATACTTGCAAATATAACTAAAACTAAAACACTACTCATACAGACACACCATTACGGGTATAGAAGCTAAAATTATTTTTTCCCTCTAACCTGTGGCTTTATATAATAACACAAATACTACCTCAGGAATTTCAATATTATTAACAACGCATTGTCTGTTATAGCAAAAGTTTTTAAGTAATTCAATTATATATGTTTAATCTTTTTCTTTATAATTATTCTTCATAATTTATAAATCAAATTTAGTTACTAAGGAAAGAAGTTTTTGAATCCGAAATATTTTTTTTCAATTGGTTCTTAAAAAGTAGTGAATAAAATTCCTTAGATTTTAAGTTTGTCATAAATTCATTATTCTTTCTCATTAAAACAGACAATACTTGCGTTGTTTGTTACGTTGGAATTGTGTTTTTTTTATTCTATATAAATTTTGGGTTATATGAATATTGGTTTTTGCCCGATAAATAGTTTTTTTCCCTATTTTAATGTAGGTTTGCATATTTCAAATGATCGTTTACTCAAATATCCCGACTCATTGCTATTTGAAGGGTGGCTAAATTAAAAGATTTAGTTAAGTAGTTATGGATACAAAATACTTACTTTTCGTCGTTGTTGTGTTGAACTATGCACAGTGAGAAGAAGGATCAACCCGGCCGTTAATAGTGAAATGTTCATATTGTTTTTCCGAAGGAATATCTAGCAGACAGTGTCAGTTTCTTTTCCCTAAAAGAAATAAATATAGTTGATTAAAAAAACCTCCGGATCACTCCATTACAAATGTAAACTATTTTGGTTAATAACAGGATTTGGACCCGGGTTCATGTACCCTACGCTGAAAGCTAGTTCAGTCACGGTCGGCTTTTCGTATTAATTAAGAATGAAATAGAGGTCGTCCAGTGGTCAAAAACTAAACAAAAAATATGTAATCTACAGACTTCTCTATTGTCATCCAATGAAGAAAATAAAACATGCGATTGGAATTTCATCCATTTGTTTTGATTTTGTTAATATTTCGTTATTATTTCGTCACCAGCATGGCAACCCATAAGGCCCATGTTAGTGTTTTAAATATTGGAATTAGTATTTTGTGCTTTTTTTTGCCTATTTTAATTTAAAAAGGGATTCTGCACATCTACAGGAAACTGTCTTTCTTTCAGTGTGTGGAGATTTTCCCTACGTTGCAAATGAGCTGATAAAAAAGGTTTTGAAGAAACATGCTTGCCTATTAATATATAAACGAGAGGTCGTCCAGTGGTCGAAACTCGACCAAAAATATGTAATTTACTCACTTCTCTATTTTCACCCCACACTGTAAATAAAACATGTGATTGGAGTTTCTTCCATTTGTTTTGATTTTCTGTTTATATTTCGTTGTTATTTCGTCACCAGCATGGCAACGCATATAATCCATGTTAATTTTTTCAAATTTTCAAACTCATTTTTTGTGCTTATCTTTGAGCCTATTTAAATTTATAAAGGGATTCTGCACACCTACAGGAAAATTGCTTTCTAACGGTATGCGCAGATTTACCCCACGATGCACACAAGCTGAGAAAAAAGGTTTTAAAGAAACATGTTTGCCTATTAATATATAGATAACTCAATATGTTGCACAGATATGCCTCCATTCTCAATATTAAGTACCTAGAGCCCAACATCTCAATAATGAATTTACATTAACAAGAATACTTTAACATATTTACATGTAATATAACGTATTACACATAAAAGGGTAAAAAAATGCCTGGATTTTAATCTAGCCAATGAAGACAAGTTATTTTAGGTAAAAATACCCCTCTACCTGGATCTACTCCCTAAGTGGTAAAACTTTGCACATAACATATCGAAAATCAACATACGAGCATGCTGTGCATTTTCCAAAATGGTGGCCGATTTTCACAAAAACACACTTTATCTCTCTCCCTGTAGAAGCAAACCTAGGTACTCATTAAACCTAATGTTGTTTAATGGATTTAATTAAAAATCAAATAAGTAAATGGAAATTCGCTTAGGCTGCAGGTTTGCTGTGGTTGGGATATTTTACAATAGCTATGTATATTTTTAATGTATACATTTCAATTTTAAACATGTCTGTTAAGGGTTTTTCCCCATAACAGGGTTACTACAGTGTAATATTTGCTTGATGAAGAAAAATTAAACCTGAGAGAAATCAAACAAAATTAATATTTTAAAAACTGATTAAAATTTTTCTCAATCACTTATAGCGATAAGACACGTTTGGTAAGGACTAGACGAAGTATTTTTGTGTGTTCTTTAACTTTTGTGTGAACTAGATTTCTGAATTTCCAACGGTTTGTGAAATATGGGCAAAAAAGTACAAATCGGCCACCATTTTCCAAGATGGCGGCCGTAGCACAGCATGCTCGAATGTTGATGTTTAATATCTTGTTACTCAGTACTAGTACTACACATGTGCAAGGTTTCGCCCCTTAGGGAAATATTTTCACCTAAAACCCTAATATGAATGGACTAATATATAAAATCCTTCGCTCTTAGATGAAAATAAAATAAACAACACTTTCACCAATAACTAGTTATACAAACTTTAAATGCAAATAGTTGAACCTAAATTTTAGTCGTGTTACTTACCAATTATTGAAGTGATAAAAAACCCATAATCTTTTCATTTTATAGGTACCCGACTATTAACTACCACAGCGTTATGTAAAAAGTATAATATATGAATTATAATGAACAATAGATCATTAATATTTGTTAGCTGTTGGAATATTAACATTTTCATTGTTGTTATTTAATTATTTTTGTGAATTTTTAATGCATTAATCATTGAGTACTAATAAGAAAAGATATTATATATAGCATTTGAACAAAATAAAAATTTACTATAAAATATGTTGTAAATGTTTAAAAGAAGAAGATAGGAAAGTATAAGTAACCGTAAATGGTATCGTTAAAACTTGTAGAAGCTGGTCATTACGGCTTGAGCTTTTCCACGAACTACTTTAACATTTATCCAGCTTTAAGATGGGACTTTTGATCCTATCCTAATAAAGTGAAGGTAATTATTTTATTCTTTTTATTTTATAAAATTAGTTATAATACAATCTAGGATAGTAAAATGAAAACACAATTTCGTACACTTATTTGGTATCATTATTTGGTTACCATAATACGATATATCACACTTTTAGTTGTAACATGGGGCAAACCTGATTAGCTTTGCCTTATTTTAAAACTAAACATCGTGGTATTTCAGTCACCTTTTATTCGATATTTTTGAACTTGGAGTGGTTTAATAGTTAAAATGAATTTGAAAGTTTAAATGTTAAATAAAAGCATTCATGACATTATTTTTCTATAAAACCAGTGTTAGTTTCTGGTAATGTAAATTTAACAAATGAGGATGAATGCAATTTTGACATTTTAGATTGGATCAAGGTAACTTGTTTTTTTACTTGCATCTCTTCTACCTTACAAACATATAAAGTTTCATAAAGATTGGCTTAAACGATCAAAAGATAACATTTTAATCCAAAAACGTACAATATCTGATTTACGAATTGATTTTGGAAAACATTTATTCTAAATTTTCTCTTTATTTTGACCCAGGGAATCATTTCGTAAATTATGCATCCACCGTTTTTCAACACCCTGTATATCCATCAATGGTGTTTACTCGTGTACTTGGCACATACAAACGTCATCAATAACAAGTATTTAACATTTTTAAGGCAGGTTTTCTCATGTCGGCCTAATGATTACAAAAATAAATACACAAACCAGAGAGAGACACATGTGAAAGTAAAATAAATCAGATTAAATATAAACAAATGAACACAGATGATTACAAAATTATATTTTAAAAAGATCACCATTCAAACTATGAGGGTCACTGGTCCAGAGCCCTTATCATACATTAATCTCGGTTAAGGGAAAGCAAAACTTCAGATTGAGCTCTTCAAAATAACAGATCCACAATAGAAAATCTAAGATCACAAAATATCTGTTCACAAAAGAATTCTTTCCAAATTAACTATAAGAGAACAACACTTATATCAAGGAGCCCATTTTTTTAATTTATGCAAATCACTTTGTAAAAACAAAAAGATGGTGCATAATAGAACATAATAGTGCATGGAGAGGGTGCATAATAATCCCTTAAACACTCTATACCATCCACCACAAATCTTTACTCTCTGAAGAGCAAAATGTCTTTTTAGTACCCAGGGAGGTAAAGTCAGCTGTTGTAAACAGTTTGTTAGTTAATGAAGAGCAAACAATCTTTTTGGTACCCAGGGAGGTTTTTTTTCGTTAATACTGCAATGTGACTACCAATATAGTTCATCACACGGACAAAAAGTGTATCTTCGACTCTGGCTTTCCTTCTGAGCTCGGTTAGAAAGGAGTCACTTTACGTCATAGTGAGGAAAATATTTTATTACCAGTTAGAACAATTGTTCTAATCTAGCGGCGTACAAAGTGAAGGTCAGATACAAATACACATTGGTTTTCAAAACTGTATTGTTTATTTAGTACCTTGTCAGCATCATTTTCACAAAGTCGGCTGCTAGTTGTGCAGCTCCCATTATAGTAGCTCCAACTACTCTAGGAGCTATTTCTTCATCTGCTATAAGAGCTTGGGCTGCCTTTAAAAC